TGATTACAGGCAGTCCCTGAGGTCACGATGCCCAGATCCCTTATGTGGCATGGCCACTGTGGCAAGACATGGCTGTGCTTCCTCTGACCCCTGCTGCCTTCACCTCCCAGTGGCCCATGTTCCCTAGAGGCTGGGTGGTGTGGTTCTTGGCATTCCTGGTGCCCAGCTGGAACTCGGAGCTTGTTTCTACATGGAGAAGCAGTGGAAAGCTACAGTCTTACAGTACTGCTATTCAGCAACATTATGGCTCAGATAGGCTATTAAGCCCTAAAAGGACATTTAACCATCATTTGTGGCATTCTGGCTTTAGAAAAATGTGCTTCAGACTTCCAAATAACTAATTTGGAAATGCATTTTTAGAACCCAATGATTTGGAGGTTGTAATTTGGAAGTTTGTAAACATGCTTGAACTGCTGAGTAAATCTGAATGTGTACCTGTGTTCAGTTCTCAGATTCATGAGTTCAGGTCTAGAGGCTACTCTGACAAACTGTTAGGCTTATTTGTTTTTTAAGAACAGTCAAGTGCAGGCTGGTCCGAGTGCAGTGGTGTTTACAACTAATTGATCACAACCAGTTAGAGATTTTCTTCTTCCTTCTCCATTCCCACTCCTTCAGTTGACTAGCATTAAAAAAACACAGCAAAACAAACCAGTCTGTGCAGTAGTAAGAAAGTAGACTCACTTTTTTAGAACAACGTTGCCATTGTTACTTTTTTTTTTTCTTTTCTATTTTCTGAGGCAGTCTCACTCTGTCACCCAGGCTGGAGTGCAATGGCACAATTACCATTCATTGCACCTTCCACCTCCTGAGTTCAATCAGTCCTCCCACCTCAGCCTCCCAGGTAGCTGGGACTACAGGCATGTTCCAGCACACCTGGCTAATTTTCTCATTTTTTGTAGAGATTGTCTTGCCATGTTGCCCAGGCTAGTCTGGAACTACTGGCCTCAAGTGATACTCCCAACTTCACCTCCCAAAGTGCTAGGGTTATAGGCATGAGCTACTGCTCCCGGCCTCGTTGTTTCTAACCCTAAACTTGAGTGTTCATTTTCTCTTCTCACTGTCCCCCCATGCCACATTTATTTCTGAAGCTTGGGAAGATAGAAGTCCTATAGAAAACTGCCATGTTTTTTTCTCTTCATAGCTGAGTTCTAGAAGGCTATCAGTTGGTATCTGAGTTCTGAGTTAGTACCTAATTCTAGAGGAGCACCACTTAACCTCCATGCCTTGCTTAGGTCCTCCTTGTTATTTTACCCTAATTTCTCTGCTGCTTGAGGATAGGAACCTTGTAAACAGAATCATTCAGCAAACCCTGAGAACAGCTTCTTTTAGGGAGGGCTACTTCCAGGAACAGAAAGATGGCTGTTGCCTTTGACTATTTCTTATGTGATCCATGGCACCAGGGTAAAGGTGGCAGAATCTATACTTTTAATCACTTGGGAAAGCAAACTGCTGGAGTGTTTGTGGGAGAGAAGTCAAGTGTTGGTGTGTTTGTTATAGAGGCAGAGAAGAAGCGCGAGGCCAAGCAGCGAGCTAAGGAAGCCCAGGAGCGGGAACTGCGGAAGCGGGAGAAGGCAGAAGAGAAGGAGCGCCGGAGAAAGGAGTACGACGCCCTCAAAGCAGCTAAGCGGGAGCAGGAGAAGAAACCTAAGAAGGAAGCAAATCAGGCCCCAAGTAAGTTTGCTGTCTGTCGTAAGGTTCCAGCAGGGGTGCAGTGGAGACACTCATGTTTCTGGGCATAGATGACTGAGTGAGCAGCCCTGCACACCTTAGTCAGATAAATCACACTAAAGCCTGGAAGTAGATGGGAGGGTTTGGTTACAGGGAATGGAGGACTCTCCTCTAGGGAGCTAGTGTCCAGCTGGTTTGTTTCCCTAGTGCCCACATAATTCTGTTTTGGTCAGATGTGTCTTGGAGCATTCCTGGAATAGAGCCTTACTTTTTGTAGAGGTGAGATTCTAAAACCATTGAGATATGCAAAGATCACAAATGGTCAAGTTTAATCTTAAAAGTCCCTCACAGCCAGGTTCCGTGGCTCAGGCCTTTAATCCCAGTGTTTTGGGAGGCTAAGGTGGGAAGAGATCACTTGCGCCCAAGAGTTCAAGACCAGCCTGGGCAACATAGAGAGACCCTGTCTCTACCTAAGTTTTTTTAAAATTAGCCAAGTGTAGTGGCACACAGCTGTGGTTCTAGCTACTTGGGAGGCTGAAGCAGGAGGACCATTCAAGACCAGCCTGGGCAAGTGAGACCCCCCTCTGCTTGAACACTGAAGGAATCATTTGGCCTGAATTCAGGGAGCCACATTGTACAGAAAACACATATTTGTGTTTTACATGAATATGTGTAGTTGAATTTCATTAGTCACGTGGCTCCATGTGCTGTGGAGGATCGGATGCCCTGTGGGTGAAAAGGGACCCCTAAGGGAGAGGCAGGTGAGGGAAGGAGCTCTGCACAGAGAGCGGAGGCCTGTGGCCCTGCCCCTGCTCACCCTTGTCAGGATCAGGACAGGGCCGGCCACAGGCCTCCATCCTCCTGATCTAACTGGTTTTTAATTTCCTTGTTGAAAATGAAGATCATACCTACTTACAGGGTAGTAATAAGGATTAAATGAGGAAACAGGATCATGCAGTTCCTGGCATTGTGGATGTTCAGTTGAGTTTTTTAAAATTTTGTTTAAAAATCTCAAAACCAATTTTTTTCTAATTAAAAATGTAATATATGTTCATTGCAAAGAATTTAGAAAAGATATCTGTATAGATACATATATCAGAAAACGGCAATCACCTGTACTCCTCCATGCCTAGCAGTCATCACTGCTTACAATATGGTGTATTACCTTTGGGCTTTCTTTTTATATACACATTATATCATAATCATGACAAATCCTGACCCTGTTTCCTCAAGTGGACAGTACTCTGTCAGTGCTGGATGCCTCCTGATAAGCCCCTCCCTCTGTGATCCCAAGGGTCATGGATCACCGTGTTACCAAGGACTTAGGACCCTGGGGGCTGTGAGCGACATGAAACATGCAGAATGAGTCCCAGTTTCAGATGTACCCCCTTGAGAGCCAAAGGAAAAGGTGTTTCTGTTTCGGTCTCTGGAGACATTTTTTCTCTTCAGGGCCTGGGGAGTTTTTGCTTGAGAAAGGGGTGTAGGTAGATCTGCATGGAGGAGACTAGCAGAGATTGGCATAGAGCGGGTCTAACTGACTGAACTTGTTTCGTCTACTGTGACTGTTCCTCCAGAATCTAAGTCCGGCTCCCGTCCCCGCAAGCCACCACCCCGGAAGCACACTCGTTCCTGGGCTGTGCTGAAGCTGCTGCTGCTGCTGTTGCTATTTTGTGTGGCGGGAGGGCTAGTTGCTTGTCGGGTGACAGAGCTGCAGCAGCAGCCCCTCTGCACCAGTGTGAACACCATCTATGACAATGCGGTCCAGGGTCTACGCCGCCATGAGATCCTCCAGTGGGTCCTCCAGACCGACTCTCAGCAGTGAGCTTGTCCCCAGCACCTGCTGCCTCCCAACCTTGGAGCTTGGATTCCTATGGAATTGGGTTCTGCTGGACACAACTTCTTTTTAGCATCAGACCTACCTGCCATCATCAAATGGCTGCAGATTGGTACATGAGACCTCCTCTTTGTAGGACTTCATTCCTTAGTCAGGGTTCCCTGGTGGAATGAGGAGAAATGGAGGTAGTGGGGGGGGGGGGCAGTTACCTGCATGCCTAAAGGAGTAGGCTTGGGGGTGGGGAGAGAGAAAACATAGCCTTTTCTAGTTGTTGTACAAAGCTGTGTAAAGGCAAGGCTTGTTACTACTAAATGGTCAGCTGTCACTACATTTATACTTTTGTATGTCACAAACCCTTTCATTCCTCCCTGGGCAATCAGGGCAGATCAGAAGTTTTTGGGGACTAGAACACCACACTCAGTAAATCCAGTCTAAACGGTGGGGAGGGGTGTTCCTGTTTTCTTTAGGACCTCATAAGCATTTTAGCAGCCATACAAAATCTCTGAAAGGGACTTCATGGCCATCCAGTCCAATATAACACACAGGCAGCGAAACTGAGGCCTTCCATGACTTGCCTAGTCTCCTAGCTAGTTTGAGGCAAAACTGGATTCCTACTCTGACATTCTTTCTTTACATCATTTTCCCTCCTTTGTAGTGTCCTGAGAGACTAGAACTCACACCCGAATTATTTCTCAGGCGGAGCATAGCATCTTTACTAGTAGACAGATTTCATGACTCAGACATAGAAATCTCTTGCCATCATCAGGTCTTGGGCAGCTCCTGTGGAGTCCTGCCCAACTTATGTGGCTTCCATAAAATGGCAACAGTCCAGGCTCCTTGCTTCAATTTTAGAGCATTAACTCCCTAATTGCCAGTAAGCAAGGAGGTGGCTCTCTGCACACCTACACTGTCTATGACAGCTCTAGTTGTACTTGGTGGGACTAAATACCTCAAAGGCACCCTGCTTTCGCGGGTTCTGAAGTGTCAGCTTCATAAGACACTGAGGTTTAGAACTGTTTGATTCTAGACCATAAATGAAGGGAATAAATGGAAACAGAGGAAATGAAGGGAAACAAGTAGCATCATGGAGCTGAAGCGTGGTGCAGCACCCAGTGACTAGCACAAACAAGGATTGCACTGTCCATTCTCTTGTCTGCTAGATTAAGCATTTTCTTGCCTCCTTTGCTTCATCTTTTCACAACAGCTAGATGGAGGGATCAGCAATGACTGTGTCATGGTGCTCATTCACTGAAAACTCCCAGTTGAAAGCTCCTTGCCTCCCTTGGAGGGAGCAAGAAGCCGTCATAGTTCAGAGACAGAGAGGGTAGGGTCCAGCCTTCTGGCCCTAGTGACCTCTTTGGATGGGACTGCCACTCATGACCGTCCTGGTACTGGAAGAAAGGACTTTGTTAATCTTCTCCCCCAAAACTCTGCTGCGTAGGTCTACACCATACTCAGAATCACTACACATTCCTTTAGTCTTCCTTCGAGCTCCAGAGCCATTGGTACAAATGCTTTATTGAAACTAAATACGTAATACATACAATGAGATTAAGACAACATAGAAGTCCGCATAGTCATATCCTGTTCCTTGGCCGGTTGAGGCAGCTCAGTGGCTGAGCCCAGTCAAGCCAATCCGCAGCTTCACTCACGACTTCGAGATTTGATGCTAATTCTTTTGGATTTCTACCGTTATTAAATACGTGTCTGAGTGGACTGTCTTTGTTCCTTTGTGTTTTGAGGGCTGGCTGGGTAGGAGTGGGGGTGGCTTGTCTGTGGCAGTTAATTTTTGCCAGGAGAGGAACATTAAATGCCGAAGGTAGGTGGCAGTATTTCAGTCTCTGCCCTAGCTGATGGGCAGAGAGACTTTCACAAATAATAAGACCCAGGAGAGACTGGGCCTCACCTAGGCTTGTGCTCCAGGTGCTACCAGTCTCTTCACTGCAGTCAGGCTCTGAGGCTGGGGAGGTGGCAGTCTCCAGCTTTTCATCCTCATCCCTGAAGGCTAGAATCAGTCAACACTATCTAAAGACAGATCTGGCTGTAAAGCAGTCATCTGAAGGTAGATACGCCTGGATAGCTCTGGTCCAACACGGCGAGAGGTGGATGTCACACCTTCTCCACGGCGCACCTGTATGTCTGCAAGCAGATTCTGGCGTTCTTGCTCCGAAAAACACTGTCGATAAGCCTGGAAGTGGTAGATGGCCTCTTAATATGGTACCGTCCATGGTGATCCCTTCTCCATGAGCATGGAGGGTGCTACACTTGGCTTGGGGCATGAGAACCTGTTCTACCTCCCTGAGTCAGTGTTAACAACTCTGATCTTAGCAGACCTGTGCTGCTGACCTGTGAGGCCTTCATGGGCCCTCAACAATTGTCCAAGGAAATCTGGGGATCCACGGAGCCCACCAGCAACGGGCAGTGACCCCAGAGCCCTGGAGCAGCATACCTGTACCAGAAGCTGCGGGGAGGGATAGGCATCCACAATTGCGCTGGCCATTTCCAGGCTGACTCGGTTCAGCTGCTGAATCTGTCTCCTCCAAACCAGTGAGAGTCCCCTGCCAGCACGGTCCACCTTCACCCCTCCAGCCCAGTCACTCTCCACACAGAAGGAGAAGGTAGTTTCATCTCGGAGCTTCCTGCAACACCACAGTTGGAGAGCTGTAAGTTGCTCATTACTCTCCTACACCTGTTCCCTCAAGTAGGAACTGAAAAACACCTTGGAAGAGGTGGGCGCCATCTTACAACTGGCCTATTTGTGCCTTTGACATTTGCTCACTTTGTTCCCAGGTACAGTGCCAGTTGCTGATTTCCTTTAAAAACTACATCTAGTCCATTTTAGTAGAAGAGGTACCAGATTCTTTTAATATTTGGCAATCAGGAGTCTATTTCTGGTTCTTCTAACTGCTAGGAGCTCAGACAAGTCAATCTCTTCAGGCCTCACTTCCCTCAAGTATAAAATAAGGGGCTTGGATGGGATTGTCTCTGAGGTCATTTACTCATTTTAAATTCTGACAATGAACACTCCTTGAACTAAGTCGGCTAAAACTTTGCTTTCCTAGTGCTTATAACATTGTGATCTGACCTGTAATTAATCCTGGTTACTTGGCCTATGGTAACCTGGCCAATGATACCAACCTGCAGAAGAGAACGCTTACACATAAGTGAAAGGAGAATATCTGAAAAGGGGCTGGGCTTGAGGATTCTTCCCAAGAATCCCCAGCATGAGGTCAGCTCCTCCTGCCTCACGCTTGAGAGATAATGGGCTAACTGCAGAGATGAGGAGAAAGGGACATTTGCTTTGACTGCAAGAGCCATGGTAAAGGACAAGGCCCCAAATGGAGGTTGGACTTGCTGGGGGTTCTCACTTGAAGGGCGTCTCAGCCACAGCCTTTGTGAATGCACATGTGAAGTCAGCCAGCTCTTTCCAGCTCTGCACAATTTGAGCCTGGGCTTCCGTGTGTAGCTGCAGATCCACCAATGCCTAGAAACCCAAAAGCAACAATGGACTGGAAGGATGGAGGGACTAGCTGTAAGTCACTATCCACTGAAGCTATACCCCAGCCCTTTGGCTCCCTATTCGGCACCTTCTCTCCTACTCAGTGCCAGGGCAGAAAGCAGTATGCAGCAGGCATTTTATTCTCTATCGGTAGCAAATCTCCTTAGGTGACCAGTGAGTACCCAGCCCGATTCAGGCAACAGAATGTTCTTACCTCTTCCACGTCTACCCTGGATACCATGGACGCTGTGCTGGCCTCTGGTTGTCTCTGCTGCTTCTCCTTCATCTGTTTATTTGTTCCCTGTTTCCCTTTTCTCAGAGGATTCTGAGCACTGGTGCAGGGGAGGAAATCAAAGAAGGACAGCAGCTCCAGGCTGAGCTCAGGCAGATGTGCAAGAAGACTAGCCCAGAGCATCCTGCTGGGCTTGTTAGATATGGGCTACCCTGCAGAATCTGTGATGAATAAACTCACCCCACTTGGCCCAAGAGCTGCCCCTTTGAACATGAAATCATCAGGGCAAATCCAAACCTGAAGCATTTCTCTTGATCCACAATCACCAGTGACAGAGTTTTCCCTGCTGTCCTTGCTGTGATATCAGTTACAAAGCCCCAAAATGTTTCCTTCTCTTTCCTAGTGCTGTCCAGGCTTCCCTGCATGAAGGGGCAGAAACTGCATTAATTCTTGCTTCCTACTAAGAGTTGGCCCTCTGTTCCATGTCCTCCCACCCTCTGGCTCTGCCCACCTGCTTTCCATTGTAGATCATGGACACAAATGCCTCTTCCCGGAGCAACACCAGGACTATTGGCTCCTCCACCCAGTCCTCTCCGTCCTGCCCCAGGAGCACAGCACAGGGAGGGAGGTCAGCAGGTACTGAGCACCTGTGAGAGTGGCCCAGGGCTTCCAGGTGAATGAACTAACTCCCACCCCTGTGCATTATCCCTTTCTTCTGGAATGAAGTCACCGTGGCAAGAAACGATGCAGTCCCTCCCAGCCCTCAATTGTTCAGTCCTGGTGCCCTGCATCTCAGAGACAGCGAATAAAAAAGGGACATAGCAAGTTGAAAGGGGCTGGGAAGTAACTGCCAATTGTTCTGTACATTTTGAATAGGGGGATGGAGGGAAGGGAAACTCTTCCAAAGGATTTAGTACAAGTAAATGACTCTGGCTTTGAAGGTGGATGCTATGAGCTGAGTGCCCCTTACAATCACATAGCTTTTTTTTTTAGTGACAAAGACAAGAATCATAAGAGAAACATCAGTCTGTGAGAGCAATTCCTCTTTATCACAGGTAGGGCATAATCAAAGTCAAGACTGCTTCAAGGCCAACAATACTCCAGCAGTACAGTATAATAGAGTAACTGGGGAGCAGGACTTTTATAGAAAATTTCCTGATTGGGTTCCTATAAGCAAAAGCAAGACCCATACTACATAAAAGTGTAGGTGGGAGGAGCTCTGGGTTCTCATTCCCACTGTGGTCCTCAACAAGGCATTTAACTTTTCTGAGCTCCAGTTTCCCCACCTGTGATGTGGGGAGAAGTCCTACCTTATAGGATGACTGACGGTAACACAAGAGAATGTGGGAGTGCCTTGGGAGGGTAAGCTGCTCTATGAATATAAAGGCTTGCTAATACCCCCAGAGTAAAAAGTGTGGGTAACTGTCCTATGTTACTGAGAAAGTTATCAGATCCAAAAAAAGAAATCAAAGAGAGGAAAAAATAAATCTTTTCTTTTTTTATACAAGATGCTTCTGGTGAGATAAAAAAGAATCTTAGCACCAGGCACAGTGGCTCACACCTGTAATCCCAGCACTTTGGGAGGCTGAGGCAGGCGGATGGCATGAGCTCAGGAGTTCAAAAACAGCCTGGGCAACATGGCAAAACCCTATCTCTACCAAAAATATGAGCTCCACTCTGCTCCGTGATCTCTACAAAAATCACAGGGCCCACATGTCTTCTGGCTCCCAGCTGGGTGTCACCAGCGGGGAACCCTAGAAGAGGACTAGTAGGAAGGAAGAAAGTGAGGGTATTTTTCCCTGGCTCCTTCCCAGTGGGGTCATCTAAGGTTTGCTGTCCCCCTCTATGGCAGCTCATAGCTTCTCTCAAGGTGGCCCTCTCTCCATTTCTCTTCTGGATTCTGTTAACCACTCCCACCCCTCACCCCTTCAGGCATAGGAGTATTAACAGCTGTGCCAGTGGTTTTCAACCAGGAGTGATCTTTCCCCACAAACGACCCCTGACAATGTCTTCAGAATTTGTTACTGTCATGACTGAGAGGGGTATATTTGTGGCCAGTGGCCAGGGATGCTGCTCAACATTTTGCACATCACAGGACAGGCCCCAAAACAACGAGTTCTCCAATCTAAAATGCCAACAATACTGAGGTCGAAAAGCCCTGAGTTGTGTTGTTACCCTGAGGTACCATGCTGTCCCTGGTAGCTTCCTTGTACCCTGACCATGCCTTGGGCAAAGAGTACCTTTATTTAATCTTTCTTCAATTACCCTGAGTTGAATGTACCATCTGTTTTCCTGCTGGGACCCTGACTGATAAGTATCATTTAAAATAAAAGCATATTTATCCTATAACTCTAAGGGGAGGAGGGGGAGGAAATGTCAGAAAACACCTACCACAGATGGCTCAGCCCTTCTCCTCCAAGTGACGCTGCAAGGCACGGCCTGCGCCTCGATCACACAGCGGCACTCCATGGACTGCAGTGCTCCCAGGAGCTGGCCCCCACCTTCCATCTGTAAAAGCACTGCAACAGATGGAAAAGGGACTGTCAGTGGATGGTCCAGAAAGCAGACAACTCAGCAAAGGACAAAGACACATGCGAGAACCTGGATCCAGCACCACAATGATGTGTTTTAAACATTCCTCTGGCCTCTGGGCTTTCATCCTGGTTACCGGTGCTGCCTTCTGTCTTTCCTGTTGTCTCAGGGTGCTTTCCTTCTGCCTTACTTGTCTCTGCTGCTGGCATCCCTGTGAGACTCTTCCCTGGACCTTCTGACTCTGCTTGGTTTTCTTTTGGGGTGGGAGGATTTCAGAATTTGTTTTGGTTACTGCCAAGCTGCTGCTCTGGCCAGAGCAGGTAGACTGGTAGGCTGGAAGCTGACGGCATGGATCTAAGATTGGGTCCTTGTTATCTAATGCACTCCTCTCTGGAGTATCATGGAGGGGAAGTTCAGGGATCTTTGAAAAGGGCTGCTTTTTCCAGTCACATGACACACCTTCATTATTTTGATAATCCAAAACACTTTTAATTAGGGAGCTAGAGTCCTCAGGGCTCAGTTGCCTGTGGGTCAGAAATTTATGTATAAGCCTCTGAGCTAGAGGAATAGATTCTTCATCCTCACTTCCACTGCACAGCAAACTGACTGACTGTGTTTGTGTGACAGTTTCAGCTGTGTCTGGGACAGGTGGTGAATCTTTCAAGCCTGGTGATGGAGGACAGGAGGCCTCAGAATCTGAGATGTCAACTACTACAATCTTCTCTTCCCTTTTAGGCTGTCTCCTCTTTGTTAAAGGTTCCTTCTTCAGAAAGGCAAATGTTGGCAACTCCTCAGAGTCACTGTCACCAGAATCCAGTGAGGGTGATGACTTCTTCAGAGCCATCAGTATGTGCTATCAAATCATTCCCTAAAAGGAAAAGAGACATACGACACAGACTGGAGTATTCAATTCAGTCCACTAGCTGTGGTCCATAGCCAAGCTTTATGAAGAAAAATATAAGATATAGGTAATACAGAAACAGAGAAATATGACATGGCCCCAACACATTCAATCTGGAACTCTAACTCCTGGTAGTCTAACAGGAATCCTCTTCAAATTCTTTCCAGATGACTATAAACAAAGTAGAGTTACCATTACAAAATTGTAATGGGGGCTAGTAACAAGATTTAACACCTCCACCCCCTTGTTGATGTCCACATTTGAAATGGAGACGTCAAAAGTTACACTTTTTTTTTTTTTTTTTTTTGAGATGGGAGTCTCACTCTGCTGCCCAGGTTGGAGTGCAGTGGCATAATCTTAACTCACTGCAACCTCTGCCTCCCAGGTTCAAGTGATTCTCCTGCCTCGGTCTTCTGAGTAGCTGCGATTACAGGCATGTGCCACCACGCCTGGATAATTTTTGTATTTTTAGTGAGGACGGAGTTTCACCATGTTGGCCAGGCTGGTCATAAACTCCTGACCTCAGGTGATCTGCGTGCCTTGACCTCCCAAAGTGCTGAGATTACAGGTGTGAACCACCACACCTGGTCAAAAGCTGGTTTTTTTTTTTGTTGTTGTTGTTGTTTTTCAAAACTGAGATAAAGGCTGGGCATGGTAGCTCATGCCTATAATCTCAGCACTTTAGGAGGCCAAGGCAGAAGGATCACTTGAGTCCAGGAGTTGGAGATCAGCCTAGGCAACATAGTAAGAAGTCATCTCTACAAAAAAAATACAAAACTTAGCTGGATGTGGTAGCTCACATCTATAGTCTCAGACACTCAGAAAGATGAGGCGGGAGTATCGCTTGAGCCTGGGAGGTCAAGCCTGCAGTGAGCTGTGATTGTACCACTGCACTCCAGCTTGGGTGACAGAGTGAGACCCTGCTTCAAAAGAAAAATAAAATAAAAAGACATATAATTCGCACATCATAATATCCTTTGAAAAGTGTACATTCAGAAGTTTAGTATTTTCACAATGTTGTGCAACCATCATCATTTATTTTCATCACCTCAAAAAGAATTCCTGCACCCATTAAGCAGTCACTGTCCATTTCCTCCCTCTCCCCAGCTCCTGGCGACCATAAATCTCTCTATGCATTTGCCTATTCTGGATATTTCATATAAATAGAATCACACAATATGTGGCCTTTCATGACTGGCTTTTTTCACTTAGCATAATGTTTTCAAGGTTTATTTATGATGTAGCCTGTATCAGTATTTACTGCTTTTTATGACTGACTAATATTCCATTGTATGAATATGCTACATTTTGTTTATCCATTAATCACTTGGACATTTGTTTCCTTTTTTTTTTTTTTTTTTTTTGGGCTACTATGAATAACGCTGCTATGAACATTGATGTACAAGTTTTAGTGGGGTATGTTTTCAAATCCCTTGCGTGTATATACCTAGGAGTAGAATTGCTGGGTCATGTGCAAAGTTAATCATTCCTTGAACATTTACTAACACTGTAGGTATGACCCAGGAGGAGACATGTAACCTGCCTCGGTCTCAGTTTCTTCCTTAGTAAAACAGGGACGGTAACAGCCCCATTTTATAAGGTGGTGAGAATTAAATGAAATAATGCATCCACCGCGCTTAGTACAGTATCTGGCACACAGCTGGCTGAGTAAAGTAAATTGAATGACTAAGGAGGGGGCCTCATCTCTGACCCTTCGCTGGGGCTCCGCTGACATCTGCAAATGAGGGGAGTGGGACAAGTGGGCCCCTGCCCGATAAGCTCTGCGCCTTTCAGGCTGGCGGTCCGCTGCAGAGACTCCTAAATGCCCTGGCCACCAAGACGCCGCAGAGCGGTACTCAGGAGGGAAGCCCTACCCAATCCGCAGGCCCGCGACCGGGGATACTCACCTGCAAGTTCTCCCGCCACTCTTTCAACTGCCACACAAGACCCGGAAGTACAGCTACTGATAGCGGAAGTAGAACCTTTTGGGGACCGGAAGTTGGTGAACGCAAACATGGCGTCGGCGGCGGTGGCGCTAAGGATCCGGACAGCCGGTAATGGGACGCGGTAATCAGAGCGGGGCGAGCAGGGGAGGCAGAGTGGTAGAGCCAGCAGGGAGGGAAGGAGATGACATTAATCTCTGCGGAGGACCCCGAATGCAAGGGAAAGTCTGTGGGGCACTCCAGGTTTGAGAGCCGGCTGTTGCTGGTCACGTGACAAATCCTGAGTGAAGCCGTGGGTGAGGGAGTTTGAGGAGCACTTGTCCTTACCCTCCCTCCGGAGCACGGACGGCTTCCTTGTCGGTTGGGGGTTTGGGTGGATCCTTCCTTTCTGTGTAGAAGCATTAGTAACATTGGCACACTGGGGCTGAAAAAGTTAATCTGATCATTCCACAGATTGAGGTCTTACTTTGTGCTAGACACAGAGGTAGGTGTTCGGAAAATTTGCAGAGAACATGAAGACAGTAGGCCTCTAACTCCCGAACGGTTCCCTCTGGTGCAGAAGCCAATAAATGAACACATAAAATAGTTGTAAACTGGCAAGTGCTGTGAAGAAAGAGTGTGTGTGTGTGTGTGTGTGTGTGTGTCTGTCTGTCTCTCTGTGTGTTTTTTTAGTTTGGACGGTGAAGGAAGTCCTCTAAGGTCCTGTGAGGAGATAACATTTAAGACCTAAAGAATGACAGAAGGCGTGCAGTGGCTCATGCCTGTAATTCCAGCACTTTGGGAGGCCGAGGTGGGCGGATCGCTTGAGCCCAGGAGTTCAAGACTAGCCTGAGCAACATGACAAAACCCTGTCTCTACAAAAAATACAAAAATTAGCTGGGTGTGGTGGCGCGTGCCTGTGGTCCCAGACACTTAGGAGGCTGAGGTGGGATGTCAAGGCTGCAGTGAGCTGTGTTCATACCACTGCACTCCAGCCTGAGTGACAGAATGGAGCCTTGTGTCAAAAAAAAAAAATAGAATTACAGGACAGTTAGCCCTGTGTAGAGTGAGGGACAGGAGAGTGACTTGAGCCAGTTTTATGTTTTGAGAAGCAAACTCTTGCTCTTATGTAAATTTAAAGGGGATAGGAGTAGAAATTAGGAAATCAGATGGAAAGCTATAATAGTACTTATGAGGAGAGAGAATTTAGCCAAGGTGTTTGTGGTGGCAGTGAACTGGGAGGAAAATGGATGAATTTGAGATCTGTTTTGGAGTTAGCATCCACAGAGCTTGCTGATGAACTGGGTATGTGAGGTCAGCGAAGAGAAGGGATCTGCAGTGACTGTGGTTTCTGCCTAAGCAACTGGATGGATGGTGGCACCATTTGCTTTGAGGAGGAGAATGGGGAGTAGGATGAAAGATTGGTGAATGAGATCATGTAAGTAAAGTAAAAGCCTAGTTCCTGAGCTTAGTAAGTACATGAATGAATGAATAGATGTTTAGAGGTAGGTATATCCTGGTCCTGGGCATTTAGCTTGTTGTCTTTCTAAGTCCTTATCTCTGGTCCTTTGCCCCAGCTTGTCTCTTTGTCATGGAAATGTCAGAAACCCAGGCTTCAGGAACCTCTGAATTTACAGGCTCCAGAGACCCACAAGGCTTCTCTAAAGACATTGACATGGGCCTTAAATCATGGCTGTGTCTGGAGACCTCTGCAGGCAAGGACTTCCACCCCTAGGCTTGTCGTATAGCAAGGGACTACAGTCTTAGTATGAATTTTAGTTCTAAAATTACTTTTTCAAATGAATGGCATTGAGCACTTTGTAATGCGTATGAAGAGGTCAGATTAAGGGCAGTGTGTGGGTCATGGTTGGACCTCTGCTTGATGGACTTTGGGAAGAAAGGGCCCAGCCTTCTGAAATGGCCAGGACCCTGTGGGAGCCACCCTTAGACCAGCTGCCTTTTTGATTTTCTAGCATTTGATATGCATTAGATGAGTGGGTAGCTAAGAAAGTCGTGGGTGAGGCCGGGCACGGTGGCTTATGCTTGCAATCCCAGCACTTTGGGATCACCTGAGGTCAGGAGTTCGAAACCAGCCTGACTAACATGGTGAAACCCCATTTCTACTAAAAATTCAAAAAATTAGCTAGATGTGTTGGCACGCGCCTGTAATCCCAGCTGCTTGGGAGGCTGAGACAGGAGACTCGCTTGAACCCAGGAGGCGGAGGTTGTAGTGAGCTGAGATTGCGCCATTGCACTCCAGCTTGGGCAACAAGAGTGAAACTCTAACAAAAAAAAAAGTCGTGGGTAAAGCTGAAGCAGAAGTCTCTCTGGATGTGCTAGGCTCCCCAGGTCTGTTCTGGCCCCCCCAGGGTGCATGAGGGTGAGTGAGCTTCTGAAGTAGGCAGCTCTGTGGTGTCCATTTCTCCTTAGCACATTCAGACTGAATGTGTCAGGACCCAGAACACATGATGTTTTTTTTTTCCCATTTATGTTTCACTGCTCCCCCCACCTCCCCCAAAAGGAGAAGGCCAAGGACTTATATTCCTTAACACAATCAGTGACACTTCTGCTCCCCTGACACATCTTTCTCATCTCCCCACTACCTCTCACCTCTTAGCAAGTGGCCCATTGAGGCAGAGTTTGAGCCTGTCTGTCTGAACAATGTTTCTGTTTTCTCTGCAGTTACATCCTTGCTGAGCCCCTCTCCAGCTACAGCTCTTGCTGTCAGATATGCTTCCAAGAAGACGGGTGGTAGCTCCAAAAACCTTGGTGGAAAGTCATCAGGCAGACGCCTAGGCATTAAGAAAATGGAAGGTGAGGACGTGCCTTGGCTTCCCCTTCCCAGCTGTACCTTGTCCTGGTGTTCCTTGGGAGAGCAGAAAAACCCTGAATGTGCCTGGCCCTTTTCTTCCTCACCATCATAATTGGCTCCAGATTAAAGGAACAGATAAGATCTGAGGAAAGGTCATCTGGTGGGTGGATGTGAGCCACAGCCATGTGATTAGAGATAAGAGCTGCTGGGTGGCAGATCCTGCACTGCCTATGTTGGACTATGTTGTTTTAGGCCAGGGGCAGGCTTGGACGTTGGTGTGCAGCCTTGGGCCATTATGTTTTCTTGGTAGTTTGCTACATTGCCCCAATCACTGTGGGCTTCTCTTCTAGGACACTATGTTCATGCTGGGAACATCCTTGGAACACAGCGCCATTTCCGCTGGCACCCAGGTGCCCATGTGAGTTGCTCTGTTGCTGCCCCCCTTTTTCTTTTCCGAGGATGACCTCTCCTTGCCCCTAAGCATGGTAAGAACAGTTGAATGTACTGGATGCTTACCAAATGGCAAGCGTTGTGCAGATTCCCATGCCTGCAGGATCTCATTTCTTCCTTACCACATCCCTGTGAGGTGGGTATTGCCCCATTTTACAGGTGAAATGCCAGAGACTTAGCAGGGGTGGGAGGAGCAAGTGGCTGCTGGGATTTGCACCAGATCTGCCTAACTCCCAGGTCTCTGTGTTTTGCCTTGGGATCGCAATGGCCTGGTATTCTTGGTTCTCCTTTCTAACCCTCAGTTCTTGGAGGACAAGATACCTGGTGATTTAAAACATTTTTTTAGTCTTGGGAAACTAATTTCAATTTATTCGTTTTTCATTATGTCTAAGAATTCTTCCTTTGCATAAACTTACTTGTAGAAGGTTGAAAGATAGCTTGAATTTAGTGAAATAGAATTTGGTGTGCCAGAAATTAGGTCCATACCAGGTAGGGGTTTCAGTTTCAGCAAGTTGGCATCATTTTTATGGGCAGGACAGTTCTTTGTTACAAAGACAGAATGATACTGAACTTTTCACATTGTTTTAAATATTAGTTTCTTTTGTAAACAGTTTCCCCTCCCCTGCTCCTTTTTGGATAATATTAATAGGTACAAAAAGTCTGATAGTAACCTGTATTTATTTCAGAGATGCTAATTTATATATGTGAATTGATTATATATGTAGTAGCTTTGCCTTTTAAAACTTAAGACATTAGATTTGTAGCTATGTCAACAACAATCAAAGCTAACATATTTTGAGCTAGACACTATTCTAAGCCCTTTATGATTGTTGACCATTAATCCTCAAAATGACCCTGTAAAGTAATTAATATTATTCCCATTTGACATATGAAAAAATAAAGGCACAGTGAAGTAACTTACCTAAGACCACACAGGAGTAAGTAGCAGTGCTGGGATTTGAACCAGGCATCCTGGCTCCAGAGCCCATTCTTTCAATCAGAGAGACAGACAATAGTGCTGGACTACCTGGGTAAAATGTGCTACATATCCAGCCTGAAGTTCTAAAGAAAAAGCTAAAAGATATAGTTAAAAACTGTATATACAACACAGTTTAACCTCTCTGCTTCATTTTTCTCATCTGAAAAATGATGTTGGAAATAATACCTCTTTCACAAGGTGAGGATTAAATGACTTCATTGCGTGGGTATTAGCTGATGCAATAGTATGATTATTATCATATGCATTAACCATATATAGCTTTGGTCTGTATTTACCATAGAGCCTAAACTTGATAGATCACTATCTAGATGAAAATTTACATTAAACTAGGGTTTTAATATGACAGTTCTAGTGTTTTTTAAGTCTAAGTGAAGATTTAGGGCATTTTCCTGGGTTTTAGGATCTGTCCAGTGTGGCTTCTGACCAGCTGCATAGACATGGCTCCAGGTAACAGCCCCTCTGGGACTGAGCAGTGACCCGTGTTGGCTGTTGGAGCTTTCTTTTCCATCCTTTGTTATGAGTCATTAAAGAAGCAGAAGGTATGAAAGTGCCAGCCAGTGTGAAAGGGAACCTGAGATGGAGCTCTCTGATCTCTCTCTTTGGCCCCAGGACTTGACTCTGTGTGAGAACTATGTCCCAAAACCCTGGGACAGACCACCTTGCTGACCAGCTGACAAGCTCTGTGTGTTGCAGGTGGGTCTTGGGAAGAATAAATGTCTATATGCCCTGGAAGAGGGGATAGTCCACTACACTAAGGATGTCTACGTGCCTCATCCCAGAAATATGGAGGCTGTGGATCTCATCACCAGGCTGCCCAAGGGTGCTGTGCTCTACAAGACTTTTGTCCACGTGGTTCCTACCAAACCTGAGGGCACCTTCAAACTGGTAGCTATGCTTTGAAGTCCTGTGAGGTCATTGGACAGAGACTGGAACCCAGGTGACAGGAGATGGTGATACCAGAAGTCAAAGATTGGGGCAATTACACAGCCTCCTGAGGAAGGTGTCTGCTTGATGGTGACTCTGCAGGAGACTCTGAAGTGACTTCTGGGAAACCCTTTGGGAGACTTGACTGGGGGCCAAAAATAAAGTGAACCAGAGTCATGAATGTATGCTATTCAGGTACACACCTGGATGTAACTGCCTGGTGATCTGTTGGTCCTTACATGGGTTCTCTAGTGCACACCAGTGGAGAGCCTCAAAGCAGGAAAGCACATATCTGAGTGAGGAGATGAAAAGGGGGCACTTTGCAGGAGGGGGCTTGCTTTGGCACTGTCTTCTAGAGGGGAAGGAGGGGAGCTTGTGCTTGTGGGTGTCATTGCTGCTTCCCCTCCTAGATCCCAGAAAAGTCCAGGGGCTGGCCCTGGGAAAAGAGGGGTGGGGCAGCCAGTAAAGGAGCTACAGTCGAGTTCTTCTCCTGTAGCCACATGCAAAGGGAGTTGGGGCTGCAACCCCAGAGATGGCCACAGGAAAGACTCTGCCTCTCCAGGTCCAGGGCAGAGAGAGAGCTTGTGGGATGGCAGGAGATGCTTCTGAGAGGCCCAGTCAGGCCCCATCTGCCCTGGACTACCAAGGTCCTTCCAGTGGCAGGACAGAGTAGGTAAGAAATGACTTCTTCCCGCTCACCTGAAGAGCTAGGCATACCAAGCACACGTTCTTTTCTAGTTCTTGGTTTATCTCAAACGATGAAGAATCTGGCTTCAGGAATACTTGGTGAGGGCTTAGAGTGGGCTGGGGCCAGGCCTTCATTGTCATCCCAGCCAGGACCTTTAGAGGCTTGGCTTTGAGTGGAGGGACCAGAAAATCTCGTGTTTAGATGGTCACTCCTGGCTGTTGGAGGTAGGTGGTATTGGCTACAGCCCCATAGAGGGGCTTGTGGGTCCAGTGGCTTCCTTTCAGGGATTCGACTCTGCCTTGAAGGCAGGCACTCCAGGGCTGGAGGTCAGAGAAGCCTCCCAGTTCTGGAGTTCGGTCTTGAACACGTCATCTTGTTTTCCCAGGACATGACCCCGGATTCCCCTCTTCCTACAGATCCTTGGCAGAGGAGACCTGGGATTTGTGGGGTTTACTTTGGCACCCTGTATGGGGACATCATTTACCAAGGCCCAGCTGGGGTAGTCTTTAGGCAGGGGAGATTGATAAGGGCTGTCTCCACAGGCTCAGTGCTCTCCCTTCCAGTCCCCTGGAGAAAGGGCAAGGGCAGGACAGAGGTGGTTGCTCCCTCCTACACTGTGGTGCTTCCCTGAGCAGGGCAGGTGGCTGCTTCCTGGGATGGCCAAGTAGAGCCACAGCTGGGCGCTGGTGCAGTTGGTGACCTTATGGCTTCCTCATAGCTTGGTGGCAGCTGGAGAGATGGGAGAGCATAGGCATTAGCCACTTGCTTGCCCTCCCTGCATATATGCAACACCCTTTCTTTGGACTGTTGCTTTCTGCATCTCCTGGTGGGTGCTGGAGATGTTGGCTCCATGGAAGTCCCTCTAGTTAGGCCTCCCAGGGCTGGGGCCTGCACCATCTACACAAAGGTGAACTGGGGCCTCCAGCCATATCCTTGGGTTCTCCACTAGCGGCCCTTTTCTTGACCCCATGGCCTCTAATTGGGTATTATGTGTTAAAATGCAGTAAGTGAAAAGCTCAGTTCCCCCAGGGCACTCCAGGGCTGAGAAGGCGGGACATTCACCTCTCTGCAGGCCCAGAGCCCGAAGCTCTGTGCAATCAGCTGGTGAATATGCTGCTGCCGGTCCTTCTTTCGAACACTCTCATAGCTGGGCAGACGAGCTGGCTGCCACAGGGGCAGCTGGTGACTCCTGGGCAGCCCCACACAGAATACCTCACCCCCGTGGGCGCCCTGTGACCAAGAAAAGTCGAGCCAGGGAGGCATGCGCCTGTGTTACCCAGCTTCGGTCTGGATCCTCTTCCCTAGAGCAAGCTCAAGTTCAGGCGCACTACACTCCTCCCTCTCCTCCAAGAAGCCTCTCCAGTCTTCATCCCATCTTTCCCTCCCTTGCATTCTTAGTCCCCTCAACCACACTAGGTCCCTTGCCTGGCTTCAGAACCCCAGCACACACTTCATCCTCCATCCTGGGTGGCAGACCCAGATCTCCTCCCTCACCTGTATCCCCTGGAACTCTTGGCTCCTTTCCACTGGCTGGACTTCAGTGTGGTGTCCCATGGTGCTGAGGTAGGGAGGCGGGCAGTCCTGGGATCATGAAGCACAACTCAGGGTGAAGCTCATAGTGTGCAAGACAGCAGATTCCAAACCCTTTCTTCATCCACTTAATCCTGTCCACCTGGGCCAGGCACAAAGCTCAGACCCTGAGCATTTCTGAAAGGCACTGGGGTCTAGAGGTTCCACTCCTTTCTGGGCACTAGCTCATTCTGTCACTGTCTTGTAGCCAGCTCTGATGACCTTTGGCAGGAGAGTCAGAGAAAACCTCTTCCTGTCCCTACCCCTCCTGCCTGGTGCCCAGAGTGGGGGGATGGTGTCAGAGCCTGGGGTGGGGTGGTTACAGCTCAGATGATTTTGTTTCCTTTCTATACAGGATGCCATATGGCACCCTGTCCCTGGGGAGAAGACTGACAGCACTGTGGCTGCCACTTACCCCCTCCCACAGAAACCGTGGCTCTGGACTCTCCCTTGGGAGCTGGGAAAAGACCTTGTCTCACAGAGCAGCACCTTGCACTGAGTCACGGTTAACAATGGTCAGGGAGGGGCCTGGATCTTATTAACCCTTTCCACACTGTCCCCTGACTCAGAGGGAACTCAGGCTGGATGCTGCAGAGAAGGGATTCCAAAGGCCCTTTCCATACTGAATAATTGTTTCTCCTTGGCCAGAGCACAGGTGCTCTTTGTCAGGACTTGGGTCCAGGGTAGGGGGCACAAAGGCAAGGGTTGGTGGGTCAGGGTGCTTACATGTTGGCTGGGACTCCAGAAGAAGTGGCAGGTGCAGAGGACCTGGCAGCATTGGGGCTCGCGCTGGTGCAGTAGCAGCAGCAGGATGGCCATGATGAACACTGCAGATGAGGCTGCCCTCCCCCAAGAGGCACCGTCAGGGAGCAGCCTGGACCCAGCACACGTGGGCCCATCTCCTCATCACATTGGAATTCGCTCCAGAAGCTGGTGTAGGAATGACCTGGCTGGGACTGCTACCAGCTTGACAAGCAAGGCAAACTGTGGTGCGGGCAGCTCCTTGTTTGCTATAGCATCAAGTCCTTGGGGCAGATTTGTGAGGGGGAGCAGAGTAGCCCTGTCCCTTCCCTGTCTTCAGCCCAGGGGGTAATGTGTGTAAGGAAACATTTACAGAGAGATAAAGGGAGGGGATGGAGCAAATACCCTGAGAAACAGTGGATCTGAGGAGGCAGAAGAGGACCCAAGAGCCCAGCTCAACAGTCCCTGGTGCCCAGCCCCTCTCATATCAAAGACTGTGGCATCATAGGACCTGGCACAGGGAAGGGACCGGATCAGCCATGCACAGCATATTTCAAGTCTTGGCTGGGGAGGGCTGTTGCTTGAGGTGACCCTATAGATGAAGAAGCTGGGCTTTGCCTATGGTGAAGGGTGCCTCTGCCCCACCCTTAGGACTCAGAATGGCAGCAGGTACTCACCGGTGGCCACGACTATGGCTAGGAGGCTGTTGTCCATGGTGATTTCTGCACACGGAGAAGCAGTGACAGGGGATGCCAAGAAAGGGCATTGGCCTTGAGGGCAGCCAGCAGGGCCACAGGGCTGACCCTCCCCAAGGTGCCACACCCCTCCCTGGGAACCCTGGTCCGGAGGAACTCCATTCAGAGCAGAGGCATCTGTGATCAGCTTTCCAGGCTCTCCTGCCTCTGCAGACCTGGCAGCTATGAGGGTCCTGCTACGACCTTCCGAGCAGGAGTTGCGGGGAACAGGCCCTGCTTCTGCTGAACCTGACAGCCAGGGGGACTCCAACTCGCCCAGATCTCTGCACTTCTTAGTCTCAGATCCCTCCCAGCCCCACTGCCCACCTCCACTTCCCATTGGCCCAGGTAGCTGGGCTCTGGATGTCAATTGGCTATCCTCTGGTCTTAGCTTCCACCTCTAACAGAACCTTGGTGTCCATGGTTGCCCTGGAAACCGGGTACGCCAGGCCACGAAATACAAAAGCCTCTCTGCCAGGCTCTCCTCCTCCCTCCAAAGCAGTTACTGTGCAGCTCTGGGGGCCCAGCCTGCATGCGCCCGTTCCCCGCCCCCACTCCGTGTCCTGCCTGGCCCAAATCCTGATCTTGACCCCAGGGGACCAGCCAGGAGAGGATTTCAAAGAAACCTCAAAAAACCCAAACCTCCAGGGTGAGCTCACCCTACAGAAAGGTTTTGGGTAGAGAACACTCTGCCAGGAACTCAGGCAGTGAAGCTCGCCTCAGTGACCTGAACAGGAGAGAATGGGAGAGGAGCGCCTCCACCCCCAAACCTGCCCTCTGAACCTGTCAGGAGTCCTGGAGCCTGGTCCTGGGTCCTTCAGTGCTTCAAACTCAGTGGAGCCAAGACAGGCCTGCCAGAGCAGTGAGGGTGGGGCTACGCTTCCCTAGTTCTGCCTGCCTGCTCATTAGAAAGGCCTAGGAGCTTTAAAAGCATACCATAGTGGGTTGCCACCTGAGACCCATTAAATCAGAATCTTCTTTCAGGATTGTGACTCACTGAGTTGAATGTAAACTCAAAATGTTTACAGCGGGTGACAATAATGGTAACTAAGACCTGATCTAATATGATGGAGAAGGACGAGGATGCAGCAAGTGCATGTCTTACCTAAGGTTTTTTACCCTTGATCTTAGACAAAAGGCCGAGAAGTGATCTATGTAAGTTTTTTTGTTTGTTTGTTTAATGGTACTTTGAGGCCAGGCATAGCGGCTGATGCCTGTAATCCCAATGCTTTGGAGGTTGAAGTGGGAGGATTGCTTGAGGCGAGGAGTTTGAGACCAGCCTGGGCAACGTGGAGAGACCTCTGGTTCTACCAAAAAAAAAAAAAAATGCCAGGCATGGTGGCGTACACCTGTGGTCTTAGCTACTTAGAAGGATCACTTGAGCCAGGAGGTCAAGGCTGCAGGGAGCCATGATCTTGATTATGTCTGGACAACAGAGCCAGACCCTGTCTCTAAAACAAAAAGTGATCATAATACTTTGAAAACTTTTGTTCTGGTCTAACACAGCACAGCCAGAGCCCAGGTTAAACTCACAGGCTAGTTTATGAGCTCTTGGGCAGTAGTCTAAATGTTCTAATATTTACTGCCTCTGCCTAATATGCTAAATCTAGTTGTTAATTTTTCTCTTTATTGACCTGAGAGTTGATATTGGGAAACAACCCCAACATTCTAGAGAACCAGGGTATGGCTTCAGATGTTCACTAACACAGGAGCCAGAAAAAAGAGAATCATCTTAGCCTCTGAACCTAAGCACCCTTTCCTTGGAATTCTTGCCCTTAGCTCCTTCCTGCTTACCTGCCCAGCTGGGCTGTTTTGTGAGGAGAGTGTAGGGACTGAGTGGCTCTGGAGGCTTCCTGCCTCTTTCTGAAGCCTGCTGCCACCATCTAATAGCTGTGACTTTGGGCTCGTCATTTCACAGCTCTAAGCCTCGGTTTTTTGATCTGCTAAATGACAATAATAAAAATGCCTCCCTCCACGAGTTGAAAGGTTGAGATACTGTAGGCATGGCCAGCACCATGGCAGCTGACAAAAACCCCAAGGCTGTTATCGGTTGTCAGGAGTACCCCCTCCTGGCAACTACGAGAACTTGACATGTGGCAGCCTAGGCAGGAGTTTGTTCCCCAAGTTGAGCTGTCAGCGTGGTTGACTGATAGAGTGACTTTAGACGTCTAGAAACGTTCACTGTTGCTCCCACATTAAGTAAAGTGTGAAGGACTGATACCGAGCCCTGGCTGACAATGGTAGGAGAGTAAGAGGGAGAGAGGAGGCTGGGGAAAGGGAAGGAGGATGGACAACCCTTTTCAACATGGGTCCTAGGACAGTGCCCAGGGACCTAGGTTGCTGCTGCTCCTGCCCCTAAAGGAAAAAGCTCCAATCATAACCACCAGGCCATGGCTGGATTGCCTCTGTTGAAGGTGCCTATGTGGCATGGCCGGGCTTCTAGGAAGGGCCCTGGTAATGCCAGGGACAGAGAAGCCAGCATCTGCTGCAGCCTGGCCCAGTGCTGGGGGTGGGAGCGCTGGGTCAGGGCTCTCAAACTAAGCTCAAGTTCTGCTAGTCCCCTAGCCTGCTGGGTGGCAATGAGGAAGTCTTCAAGCCTCTCTGGGCCTCTATCCCTCAGAAAAAGAAAAAACTGGATTTGATTTTTTTTTTTTTTTAAACACAGGGTCTCACTGTGTCACCCAGGCTGGAGTGCAGTGGTGCAATCTTGGCTCACTGCAGCTTCAACCTCCTGCTTCAGCCTCCTGAGTAGCTGGGACTACAGGTGTGCACCACCACACCTGGCTAATTAAAAAAAAATCTTTTTTGTAGAGATGAGGTCTCACTATGTTGTCCAGGCTGGTCCCAAACTCCTGGCCTGAAGCAATCTTCCTGCCTTAGCCTCCCAGTTTGGGATTATAGGCGTGAGACCCTGCACCCAGGTTAGATGGGTTCTTGAGTCCCTTTTGGGTGGAGGATTCTAAACTCTTCTCCATCTGGGGGAATGAGATCTTCACCTTCTCAAGGCTACCAAAGTACCAGCTAAGACTTCTAGAGAAGGCCCAATGAATAGTGATAGCTTCCCGACACCCAGGAGGAAAAGCATAGAACCCAGAGTAGAGAGATAGAGATATATTTCTTCTGTTGCATATTTCAGAATTCACGCTGAGCTTCAGGCACAATGCTACTCTACGTTCTTCTGAGAGCCTTGACAGTCTTCCACGCTGCTTGTGCAACCTCACCCTTCCAGCATGCATCTGGGAAATTCTGCATTGGTCTCAGTGGGCCCTGATGCCCTGCCTTTCCCATCCAGGGGCAGGGTATGCTGGAAAGCCCTGGAGCCAGCCCCACCCCCTCCAGGGTCCCCTGGCTACAAGAGAACTGTCCTGCTAGAGCCAGCTCTGCAGTGCCCCCCAAATCACCTGTTCTTCGGGCCTCAGAGCCTGGCAGGGCAACTGCATCCCTGTGGAGACTCAGCCATGAGCACCACAGGCTCAGGCTGGGGTACGAGGCCCTGGAGAGCGAGGGAGGGCCAGCCTCATCCAGAACAGGAGGTGGGCTCAGCAGGCCTCTGGTCCCCACAGACAGGGCCCTCTTCCTGGGGCTGGTCTGAGCCCTATTGCACATTGTCTGTTCCAGTTTCTCCCCCCACCACCCATATTCCTTTTTAAATTAAAAAAAAAATACAAACTAGAGAGGAAGGCGAGCAAGAGCTGGGTGTGGAATGCTGCAGGCGCCCTTCTCACGTTCCCGCCAGCCCTCTGATCCCCAGCAAAGACATTGGCGTAGTTCATACTGTGTCCACCTTCCCTGCCGTCTGTGTGGGTTCTCCATGGCTCAAATGAGTGTGCGGCCTGGGCCTCTGGTTCTTGCCTGTGGGAGTGGAACCAGAGCCTCTGGTACATTGTCTGTAAGGTGCAACTCCCAGGGTCCTCCACGGATGCTGGCTGGGGCCCTGCTACCTGAGTCGCCCGTCTGCTTTGATAGGCCCCAGCTCTGATTTGGGGTCGGGGGACAGAGAGCTCCAGCTGGTCAGTTTGCAGGGCTCCAGGGAGGGGCAGGCAGAGGGGCCTATGGCACACAGTCCGGCCACAGACCAGAAGCTGCTCAGTTCCCCATCTGTCCAGGCCTCAAGCGCAGGGCCTGTGAGCTGTGCGTGCTGCCGGGCGGCCTCCTCCGCAAGCTCTGGCGCAGGCAGGTTCAGGATGCTACTCAGGCCCTGGAAACTCTGCTCCATGTACTCGTTGTGGGGTGGCCCCGCGTGCAGCCAGCTGGCATCATCTGGGGGTGCAGAGCAGGCAGTAAGTACATCCCTCCCGACAGAATCCATGGAGGCCAGACCTGGGAGTTGGGTCTGGGTACCCCAGTTCCTGTTACAGCCTTACTGCTGAGTCACAGCTTGCTGAGTGACCTTGGGCTAATCCAAGGGACTTTCTGTGCCTGTAAAACTGAGTTTTATAAAATCAAGGCAGTAAGCCCTACATTCCCAACTGTAGGATACAGTAGAGCAGTGGGTTCAAGGCACTTTAGAAAAGAAGGGAACAGTCTGGTTTGTGTCCCACACCCTTTCTTGACCATCATCGGTGACTCCTGGAGCCCTCAGAAGCCTGTACTCAGGCCCTTCAGCCCTTCATGCACAGACACTGGCCAGCTTCATCCCCTCGGCTTAGAGCACCTTCTCTGACTTTGTCCTTGAGGCGCAGCCCCTGTCCCCACCTGCTGTGCATTGTCACCATTCTTCTCTTGACTGGGAGGTCCAGGTGTGCAGGGACACAGCTTGCCTGCCTGGATTTGCTGCAGACCCACCAGCACCCCCTCCTCCTCTAGGGCACCCCTCCTCTTAACCACTTCTTGTGATAGGATGTGGTGGGGGAAGGAGACACCTACCAGTGATCACCTCCTACATACCAGCCACTTTCCCTCCAGAGGCTCATACCTCTCACACGACAGTGGAAGTTGCTTATACCAGGCCCTCCCTTGCAGGAAATGTGCCCAGCCTGTGTCTCTGTTCAGAGCCTGCTCCCTAGCCTCAGATAAGTGGGCAGAGAGCCACATGACCCTGCCCACCTGGCCAGACAGTGGACTGGGATGGCCAATCAGATTTGCTGTCCCAATGTAGAACCTGGGGACTAAAAGTCCCTGGTCAGTGTCTGCTGCACTGAGAGGCCATGGATGGGGAGCCAGAGCCTGAGAAAATGCATAGAGATAGGACAGGATGAGGAACAAGATGGCCCCAGAGAGATGGAGAAAGTGCCTCTGGGTCACAGTGAGGCCTGACCCAGGCTCTGTTAAGGAGAGCGCTGCATTCTTCCAGTCTTCTTCCTTTTTTAACTCAAGCTAGGTTGAGTGGATTTGTGTCACATGCACCAGGAGGTCCCTGATAGGTATACTGTTCCTGGTTCATGTGCTAAGACTGAGGCCCAGGAAGGCCAGGTCACTTCGAAGGACAAAGGCCAATGAAACCATCAGAGTTATGTTCCACACCAAGTCTGCCTGACTAGAAAGCTCCCCTTTCCACCACACTGCAGGAAAGAAGACCAAGGCCCCAGCCCTTCCATGCTTCCCATACTCCAGGGATAGGAGTCAGCTCTGATAGCTGGCTTCTCAGGGTCACCTCTCTGGCAAGTCCTGTTCTGTCTGGCTTCTGGGCCTCATTTGAGAACTGCACCCTTACCTTTCCTGAGAGGTAGTTTGTGGTTGAAGGTCAAGGGCAGCACAAGGAAGCGGGTCTCACCCAGCGGTTCCCAGAACTGAAGGAGTCGAACAGTCCAGGGCCCTGGCCGCAGGGGCCGGCTCAGTGGGGGCTTGTACTGTGTGACCTCGGTCTCCGTATCTACTGTGATGTCATAAGATGTGGCCACCACGTAGGTTGGGTCGATCCAGACCACTGTGGCTGTGAGGTTGGGGCCCCGGGCCCAGCGCTGCATGGCCACAGGCTCATCCAGCGGCCCCAATAGCCCCCCAAAGTTCCGGAAAAGACGCTCTTTGGGGTCCCAGTCAGTGCCAACCTGTAGAGAGAGAGGCAGCTGGGCAGGAGTGTAAGAGAAAGGTCTTTCCCCTCCTCTGAGGCTGCTTCTCACTGTGTAATCTCAGTCCAGTCACTGTGTCTTTCTGGGCCTCAGTTTCCCCATCTGCAAAATGAAGGGGTCAGACTAGGAGATCTTTTATCTCTCCCAGCTCTGAGATTCATTCTAGGCTTCCATTCTGACTGCTAGGCAGTGGAGGTCAGTCCTCCTTATTGGGGACAATATGGTAGGGATGAGGTTCAAAGCCCTGCCCAGAGACCACTTCCACATGAAGCCAAAGCCTCTATGAAAGAGACCATGAGGAGCCACTCAGAAGCTTAGTTTCATAGCCTAACTCGAATGTCCATGCCCCTCTAGGAGAAATCTCTGTAGTCTGGAAGACTGAGCTTGTGTTGTAGCAGAACTGAAAATTCTTTCCCTGCTCCCTTCATGTCCTCTGCATGCCCCAACCAGGAGGTGCTCCTCAGTGTGCACAGGTGGGGGAGTGACACAGGATATCTATATGGGGGCACCACCATGGCTGCCATTACTGGGAAAAGAACCTTACCCCTCCCTTGGTGTCTGTCCCTCTCTTCCCGCTACCCCGAGTCTTCTTGGGGGTTGGGAGAAAGCAAGGGGGGGACCTGTCCCACCTCCAGACTCTGGAGCCGGCTGGCCTGGTCACTGCGCCCCAACAGCTTCAGCGACCCCTGGGGCATCAGCCACATCTCAAGCGTCTCTGCCGGCCCCTGGGCTGAGGGCTGCACCACCTGTGTCACCAGGTAGCCCTGGAAATGGTCGTCATAGAAATACAGGTGCACGCTGGACGGCAAGCCCCGGGGCTCAAACCTAAGGTGCCAGCAGGGAGAAAGGGAGATGCCATCAGCATACCTGACTTGGCCTGGAGTCCCAGGGAGGGGGTTCTGGGGAGTCCCATCCCAGGCACTTCCTTTCCCCGATCTTACACGTGGGTGCTGTGGCACCTACATGCCTGGCTGTGGCCTTCTTTTTGCCATTTGCATTTTTCCCTCAGACTGGGGCCTTGTTGTGGGCAGGGGACATCACTCGCTGGTCGGCCTCCCCTTAGGGCACCGCACCCCGAGAGCCTGCTGTATGTCAGAAGGGGAACTCACCTGCAGAGTGGGGTGGCCAGTGGGGGCGCAGCGGTGGCAGCATGGCGCAGGCTGAGGCGGGCAAAGGCTGTGTAAGCGGTGAGCATGACATCACTGAGCCCGCTGGGGCCATCGGCTGCATCGTAGGTATTCTCCCAGTAGGCCTTGAGGGCCGGTGTGCCTGGGGGGTAGCTGCCATACAGGTGGAAGTCCAGGATTTCCAGTACCTCCTGGTTCACAGTCGACTCGAACTTCCGGGCGAAGAAGGTGGGTCTGGAGACTTGCTGGAGCGGGAGAGGCAAGGTGGGTGAAGGGCTCTGGAGGCCCCAGAGGGCATGGCGGGGCTGGCCCCTCAGCACTGCCTAGGGCTCAGCCTCCTGTGGCTTTTCCTGCTTCTGTTGTAGCCCCAGACCTCTGAGGGCTGCTCTAGGCCAAGGCCTCCCAGATTGTCTGACTGGCCCACCCTGCCGTTCTGTGAAAAGCCGAGGGGGAAGACCTAGCAAGGGGCAGCCTTGGGGCTACGGGCAAGCACCTGCAGCCGGAGGAAGTCCTGCGGCTTGAAGTCGTTGGGGGAGCAGCCGCACCAGTCCACGATGTGCTTGTACTGGCACTTGCAGCCCAGCTTGCGGTTCCAGTTGGTGACTCGCAGGTTGTTGTCCACGAGGGTCTCACAGGCCAGGCTGTTCTCCAGCACCGTGTGGAAGAAGGACTGCAGGCAGCAAGGGAGAGTGTAAGGTGAGCTGCAGGCAGCCCAGCCCACGCCCTCCCCGGCCTTCACACCTGCCAGGCCACCCACCTCAGCTGGGAGCAGTGTGTATGTGTAGAACTGGCGTAGCTGGGCCACAAGCGAGTCGTCTGTGTA